GGCATCCTCTACTCTGGCAGCAGAGAATGCTCCTTTACTGAAGCCCAGTTATGCTCTCTGGGACTGGTTTTCCAATCCATAGTTATCTGCAGATATTGGCAGTGCTCTCTGGATCTATTCTCTGAGAAGTTCATCCATTTGTATAAAAAAATGGGGATAATAGTCCTACTTCTTAGGATTTTTGAAGATTAATGGAACATATATGTATATATGTTGAAAGGTGTTATATATATTTATACATATTTATGGGACACAGTAAAACCTTTTTTTAATGCAGTCCCAAAGGGGCAAAGTAAAACTTTATTGCTGTTAGCTATTACTAGTAACTGGTATTAGGTCTTACAGTCAGTTCAGCATAAGCACAGCCATGTTAACCCCTTCCTCACCCTGCCCCCTCTCCCCTCCCTTTCTCTTAAGTAAATGCTTTCCGAGGAAAATCTGTATTTTGTGCAAAACAGAATCTTGTGCAAAACAGTAAAACTGCAGAGCTGCTACAAAGTGCTGAATGCTCAGCTACAAAACCACTTCCCCAAATTCAAACCCTATAAAACCTTTATTAGTCTGTATGGAGGCAGGAACTGATCTTTCAGTCTCCCCTCCAGGTTTGCTGGAAATAAACTCCCTAATGTGGTAAGCATTTGGCTTGGAGTCCTTTGATCTCTTTATCTCACCAACCTAACAATTGGTATTTGAAAACATAAATTTAAGACAGCATTCTATTTCTTTAAACTGTAATTATTTAACCACTACTTTATTTTAGAGAAATTGAATTGTTAGATTATTTTTCGTTTTTATATATAATAGTATAATAAACAACCTTTGTCTGATTATTCCCTGTTTGCACCTAACACTCAAGGTCCTTCTTTTCCCTGCCCTGTGTCCCAAGAAGTGGACCTCTGTGGACTGAATCAGCCAGTCTCCCTGCCTTCTTGCTGCCAGTGGGGTTTGGCCAATTAAAGACAAGGCAAGAGATGAAAGGCTTTGAGCAGAGACAGGTAGGGGTATTTACCTCCTTGCGTGGCCAAGTTCTGTCAATAGTTGATTTATTTTTCTAAAGCCACAGTTCCTACCAAGTGATTTCTCCCCGTAGATATAGCTGTCACTATATCTGATAATACTGTACCCTACTTTTGTTTACTTTTATTTATTTATTTTATCAGTATACAATTTAGTTGATTTTGTGTCTCTTTACCGATTCCTCCCTCCCCACTCCCTCTCCTCCTCCGACTCAGCAACATCATATCTGTTCACTTGTCTTAACAAGTTCAAGGACTTGTGATTGTTGTGTCTTCTTCCCCGCCCGCCCCATTTGTTTGTGTATTTATTTATTTATTTATTTTTAGCTCCCACAAATAAGTAAGAACATGTGTGTACCCTACTTTTGCCTTTTAGGTCTAGGGGTGATAATGGCTTCCCGATATTGCTAGTATGTAAGTGCATTGCTATGTCTTGTTGGTTCCCTCACTCACAACCACTGCAGATAATTCCTTTATTACTTTTTTTTTTTCAGTTAAAACCTACTGAATGAGTCATCTCTTTCCAGCTGATAGTGGAATACAGTCTTATACTTGCCAGTTTACATTACTTTAGGTTCATTCACTTATATATTTCTTTCCGGGGAGAGAAATTGTTGACTCAAATGGTAGAAACATTTTAAAGGTTGTTGGCACGTATACATAAATAGTATCCATATAATTTATGACATTTTTTCAAATAACAAAATTAAAAAATGGGCAAAAACCATGAATAGGCATTTCTCAAAAGAAGACATGCAAATGGTCAACAAGCACATGAAAAAATGCTCAACATCACTAATCATCAAGGAAATGCAAATTAAAACCACAATGAGATATCACCTTACTCTAGTTAGAATGGCTGTTATCAAAAGGACAGAAAACAGTAAATGCTGGTGAGGATGTGGAGAAAAGGAAACCCTTATACATTGTTGGTGGGATTATAAATTGGCACAGCCACTGTGGAAAACAGTATAGAGTTTCCTCAGATATCTAATAATTGAACTACTTTAGGACCCAGCAATCCCACTACTGAGTATATACCCAAAGGAAATGAAATCAGTATTTTGAAGAGACACCTGCACTTCCATATTCATAGCAACATTATTCACAATATCCATGAGATGGAATCAATCTAAATGCCCATTAATGGATGAATGGATTAAAAAAAACCAAAACTGTGCTATATATACACAATGGAATACTACTTAGCTATAAAAAGAAATGATATCCTATCATTAGCAGCAACATGCATGTAACTGTAAATCACCATGTTAAGTGAAGTAAGCCAGATAGAGAAAGATTAATACCACATGATTTCACTCATATGTGGATTCTAAAGAAAAAGTGGTTCTCACAGAAGTAGAGAGTAGAATAATTGTTACCAGAGGCCAGGCAGTGGGGAGGGGAACCTATGGATTAACAGGTACAAAGCTATGCTATCTACCTTAAGCGAATCAATGTATGGTATATGTATTTATCAAAACAATACACTGTACCCCACAAATATGTACAAATAAGTGTTAAAATAAAAAATTCCTTTTTAAAAAATCCATTTTAATATCATCTGATGTTAACTGGAGAAATCCCAGTTGCATAGAGATTTGCATGTGCTGGAATCAAACCTTTGCCTGATGGGCTGTACCCTCCAGTATTCTAGCTTTTCTGGGAATGGTAATGCCTGGTAAGAACCCTCCCTATGGCCCCTTTCATCTCACTGTTCCTCAGGGTGTAGATGAGTGGGTTGAGCAGTGGGGTTCCCATTGTGTACACCAGTGAGATGAACTGATCTTGCTTGGGGTAGTAGCTGGAGTTGGGGCGCAGGTACATGAAGGCACAACAGCCATACTGCAGCAGCACCACAGTGAGGTGGGAGGAACAGGTGGAGAAGGCTCGGTGGCGGCTAGCTGCTGAGTGGATCTTGAGCACAGCAGCCACAATAAAGGCATAGGAGGTGGCGATGAGGAAGAAAGGGACAGCAATGGCTAGCACGGCTGCCAGCAGCACTGACTGCTCGTGGATGTGGCTGTTGGCACAAACAAGATGCATGACTGGTGGCACATCACAAAAGAAGTGCTCGATGCCCCGAACCCGGCAAAATGGCAGAGAGAAGATGAAGGCCACCAGCTGTAAGGACAGGAACAAGCCAATGACCACAGAGGCCACAACCAAGCGGACACAAAGAGTCAGAGTCATGATGAGAGGGTACCGCAAGGGGTGGCAAATGGCAACATACCGGTCATAGGCCATGACTGCCAAGAGGAAGCAATCAGCACTGCCAAATCCAATGAAGAAAACCATCTGAGTGGCACAGCCCAGGAGGGTAGTGGTCTTCTCTGACTGTAGGGTGTTGGCCAGGATGTGGGGCACCACCACAGCAGTGTAGCATATTTCTACCCCTGAGAGGCTGCCCAGGAAATAGTACATGGGCATGTGCAAACGGGCTTCTGTCCGGATGGACACCACAATGAGGATGTTCCCGGTGGTGATAAATGCATAAACCAGGCTGACCCCAAGGAAGGACAGGATACGCAGCTCTGGGCAGGAGGGATAAGCCAGGAACACAAACTCCATCAGCACTGAGCTATTTTCCCAGGTCATTGGGCTAACAGCTCTTCTCTGTTAAGAGTTACAAGAACAGAAGGAAGAATTAGACTGACAACATATTAGTTCACACTTTGAGCCATAAATTTAATCTAAGCAGGGTTGGAGTTAAAAACAAGAAGGGTCAGTTTCTACCAGTTTCTCCAAGTTCTTTTTTCCTCCACTTTTACTGAGTCTTTCTACATAAGTATCCACAGATAAATTTGTAACTGCTAAGTGTTGGGCCAACCAGTTTCTACCAGTTTCTACAAGTTCTTTTTTCCTCCACTGTTACTGAGTCTTTCTACATAAGTATCCACAGATAAATTTGTAACTGCTAAGTGTTGGGCCAAATTATCTAAGAGCTATTGAGGAATAGTAGTAAGGAAGTGGGTGAAATTCAGGAACTGCTCATAGAAGGACTGAAGTGAAAATTAAACTTCTTGGTGAATTCACAAGAAGGTGTCAAGGAATTCTTCGGGCTAATAGTCATTAAGGTGAGGAAGGGAAGCCATTCATTCATTCATTCATTCATTCATTCACTCATTCATTCATTCATTCACTCATTCATTCATTCACTCATATGTTTATTTACAATCAATGTCTCGTGAGGTGTTGAGTCAGTGATATGTGGATGTAACTCTTAAAGGTTTGGGACATGATGAAAAATGAAGAAAGAAAAAAAAAGGGCTAACATAAGCCTGATAATGTTAGAGATAAGCCTCAGAAAACAAAGCCCTCTCTACTCTTGATTTTCCTAGTCTTATCCAATCAAGAGAAGTATAGGACTTGAAGGGAACAGGGTACTTTATCATAGGGTTCCTCCTGGCTTGTGAAGGGATGGGAAAACGTGATCAAAAGCTGCTGAAAATCTAAGATCCTTTCTGTGAGTTTGTGGGATAAATACGGAAGACCAAGCAAGTTCCCATTTCCATATTTATCTTCCCTTTTAAGGATCTGACATGAAATCTGGGAGGAGCCCTCTAATGTCTATGAAAATCCTTTTTACGAACAGACGTATCTTGAGAAGGATATCCATTCCACTTTTCCCAGATCAACTCATATTCAAGGACATAGAAAAGAGATAACGTGTGACCTTGTTTCAACTTGCCAACTTTTAAATATTTCCTCTTATTCAATTTGAGCTTTGAGAAAAAATTTCTACCCAGAAACACTACTTCTGGTAAAAATCAGTCACATAGACCCATCTCAGTGTTACAAGCATGGAGACAAATGTGAGTAGAGGCTGTCACAAATATCAAGAGTGTGAATGACTCTGTCATTTTTCCAATAGCTAATAAGCAGTGTCTATTTCATTCATTCTTTCCCCTTATATGAACTTCAATAATACTTTGATTTCTAATGTCACTTAGCTTATTGCACATTTTCCTATACCATGTGGCGGAAGGGCAGTGTATCAGTGTGAAATCAGCTGGGAAATTAAATTTGGTTTGAATAATTCCATATATTGGCTCCTAAATGCTAGGTAATGTATAATTTCTTTGAGTCTTGTGTCTTTATTTGAAAAAAGGGGATAATAATTATACTTAGTTCAAAGGGTTGTTGCAAGTTTAAATGAGATAATAACAGAAGATATCTACCACAGTGACTAGTCTGTAGTAATAGCAATCTAATAAAAGATAACCATCATTATTATTTGTAAGTTCAAGGGCCACCATCCTGCCTTATTTATATTTTTATTTCCCCATATCCCCAAGCATAATGTTTTTCAAATTGTAGACACTCAATAATATGTTGAACGGATACATACACTGTGAAAAACATAAATCATTCATACTTTTCCCCCCCATTTTTCTACTTTCACTTTTAAGATTATTTCATAATCAAATCACTTGTTTAGGAGCCACTAAGGAAAACTTCACATCCAACATTTAGACTGCACTGTGGAAAAAATCTTGTCACTCAAGCACATAGCATATAGAAGCCTACAAAAAACAGACATCTAAAGGCTAGTCTACCATCTATATTATGATGAAGGACTTTGAAACCCATGTAATAATGATGACTTCTTTTTTTTTTTTGACTGGTAAGGGGATCGTAACCCTTGGCTTGGTGTTGTCCGCACCACGCTCAGCCAGTGAGCGCACTGGCCATCCCTATATGACTGGTAAGGGGATCGTAACCCTTGGCTTGGTATCGTCCGCACCACGCTCAGCCAGTGAGCGCACTGGCCATCCCTATATAGGATCCGAACCCACTGCCTCGGCGCTACCAGTGCCACACTCTCCCGAGTGAGCCACGGGGCCGGCCCAATAATGATGACCTCTGAGGATTTTATTATAATTCATCACACTTGTACCATCTTTTTTGTTTTATGTATTTTTAGTTGACAAATAGCAATTGCATATATTTATGGGGTACAATGTGATGTTTTGATACATGTATAAATTGTGGAATGATCAAATCAGGCTAATTAGCATACCTATCACCTCAAATATATATCATCTTAATGTCACTCTCCAGTGTCTATAATAAACTATTTACATCAGAGCTATCACAGGTCATGGAAGGGACCTCAGAAATTGCCTCATTCAGTCCTCTATTAGATACATGAATCTCCAATATAATCTATGAACATCATGACACTTTCAATGCCCAGGGAATCCCATTACCTCCTGGCTTTTGCTTGCTCCATCATTGGAAGACTTGACTTTCTGAAAGTTCTTTCTTGTGATTATCTGAAACTTACCTCTGTGCAACTTCTACATGCTTATTCTGTTCCAAATAATGTGGCCATTTTTACATGAACAACTTCAGATACTAAAAAGCTTTTATCCTGCAGCCCTAAGTTTTCTTTCCTATTTCCTTTTGATATTTCTCACACGACATTGTCTTGACATGTCTCACAAGTTTAGGTAAATCTCTCATTTTAAATATCTGCTTGGGGCAGATCAGATCACAGGAATTGTTACATTAAGTAGATCTGGACAGGCGAAATAATAGAGTTCATGGATCCAGGAGAGTGAAAACCATCATATCAACCTGCTATTCCAAGTTGTTACTAAATATGCTGCATAGGACCAAGGTAAGGTAAATACACTTCAGCATCATCACTAGAAATCTTCCTTTGATCTCACTGCATCTAGGTCAAATCCCACATCATAGTGTCCTCTTCCTTCTTACCTCTCCAGATAGCTCTGCCCCAGTTGGCAAGAATGTCCTGAGAAACATTATCTCTGTCCATTTTAGAAATCCAGATAGTCTAGGCTAGAGCAGCTCTCCAATTGTCTAGTTAGTGTGACATAAAAAAGGGGTTAGTGGATTTGGCATTAAACAGACCAGAGCTAGGATCTCAGTCTACTATTAATAGCATGATCCTCTGGGCAGATCATCTCACATTAATTTCTGTTTTCTCATGTTTAAAAGATGACAATAATAGTACTTACCTAATGGGGCTGTGATGAGATTAAATGAGATAAAGTATTTAAAACAATTGGTTTGATGTATGAAACTTAATAAAAATTTTCTTTCCTTCTTTCTTTGTATCTATTAAGAGTATGATATTAATGATATCTGCTTCATGGGATTAAGTAACATATCATATGAGAAAAAAGTTTTATTAACCCTTAAACTTTACCTAAATTATATTTATTTAGTCCCTCAACGTTTCTTTGACAGAGATTAATTATTACCATTTTAATCAGAATAATTGGGCTTCCCAGTGAATTCAGAAGAACACCATAAGTCATGGACTAAACTAGCTATGAGATCCTGGAGTCTAGGCTTGTAGAGCCATTACTCACTTTTCTAACTCAGTGTCAGAAGGTGCTGGAATGTTGCAAGTCTGCGAGGTACATAAAGACTTTCTCTTACCTGCAACATGAGAAGAGAGAGAATTATAGTTAGCCAGCCTCTGCAGTTATACTCATAAAAGACAGGACTTAGCAGGTGATGTCTGGCTGCTCTGGTGGATAAAGAAGGGAGGGCTATGAGCTTGGAGAGTCTGCCCAGTGGGACTAAGCCTTTATGTAACCTTCTAAACAAAAGCCATGAAAGGAATAAATGGCTTTGTCATCGAGGGTCTTGCCTCATAAGTTCCATTTCCCAGAAGAAGGTAGCTTGGTGATTGCTGATCTCCTCCCTTGTTACCAGATAACGAGCCCAAACTAAAACTTTCTCTGCTTGGAATCTCCTGTCACATGGAAGGTCTGGAATATGCTTGTCAAAGTAAAGACCTGTATTAAACCTGTTAGGAACATTCTCAATGTTCAAGATAATTTCCTGTGTTTACTCCCCCACCAGACTGCCATAGCTGGGGCTTTGTCATCGAGGGTCTTGCCTCATAAGTTCCATTTCCCAGAAGAAGGTAGCTTAGTGATTGCTGATCTCCTCCCTTGTTACCAGATAATGAGCCCAAACTAAAACTTTCTCTGCTTGGAATCTCCTGTCACATGGAAGGTCTGGAATATGCTTGTCAAAGTAAAGACCTGTATTAAACCTGTTAGCAACATTCTCAATGTTCAAGATAATTTCCTGTGTTTACTCCCCCACCAGACTGCCATAGCTGGGTTTAGCTTTAGTACCAAATTATTATTGCCCTGGAGAGCTGAGACCATATATTGTGTTTTATCTTTCTTCCATGGAGCTTAGCATAGTGCCATATTATTAATAGGACCTAGTTTAATACATATCAAATATTTCACTTTTCCCATGACATCTTTCTTTGTTTAACTCTCCTTGAGCAGAGAGACTCCCATAGGTCTTAGCAAATTAGCTTAATTCCTTTGAAAATATGTTGGTTGGTTATGTGTATATAAATGCTTATATAGACAAGTGCCCATTTATTCAAAGATAATTCCTCTGCATATGCCTAAAGTGATTAATATTACAGTCATGCACAGCATGATGACATTTTGGTCAATGACAAAAGGCATATATGGCTATACCATGTAATCTAGGTGTATAATAGGCTATACCATCTAGATTTGTGTATGTTGTTTGCACGATGGTGAAATCATGTAATGATGCATTTTTCAGAATGTATCCCCCTTGTTAAGTGATGCATGACTGTAGTTCTTTGATGTGTGTTTGGGGAGGTGTGTGTGTCTGTGGGCAAGATGGTTGAATCCCAACAGCAGGAAGGGCTGAGATGTCTGAGATGTTTAGAGGCTTCTGAGGAAT